TTATTTAAGCTGGTACATAATATTTATGTTCATCTTGAACGCTAAATTAGAATTATTATAAGACGTCTCGTCTACCGGTCGGCCGGTTTTCAAAATAATAATTGCATTCACCTCTTTCCCTCCTCGCTACGCGCTTTTTACTTGCGAAAAGCCTCGAGACACTGCTGTCGTATTTGTCTTTGAATCTGAAATAAGTATAAGAGCAGAAGTACTCGAAAATATTCTAATATAACCAGTAGGTATCCATGCTGCACAGTAATAATAACTTTTATTCTCATTATTGCAGCGGTTCAATAAGTCACCTATAAGTGTATAAGTATAATAATATATACGGCGGCACCGGTGACGGCGATGGTGAACGGGGGGGGGGGGGGGTGAGGAGGGGGCGAAGGGTAGGTATATTATACAGAGTCGGAGGCATGAATTTTCAATATACAGTACCTATATAGGCGCGTGTATTATAAGAGTTCTTTTTTTAATAAGAAAAAAAAATCCGACAAAAGTTCTCGTCTCTACATTTCAATATCAAGTTCCTCGGTTTTCTTCGTCTTAAAAATGCAGTACGCCCGGCTGTCTAATATTATAAGAATTTCCCTCCCCCCGCCATCGTCGTTCTCAAACGATTTGAATAGTATTGGCTATATTGCGGTCGCATTTGTCTTCGTCAGTTACGGTATAAACAAAAAAAAAAAAATAATAATAATAATAATAAAAATTATATATATATATTTTATAATACTTTGAAAATAATTTCGAATGCTGAATTTAAATATTTTTGTTTTACGGGGTAAAATGAATGGGTGTGGGGGGAGGGGGAGAAGGGAAAAAAGAGTGAGACACACTTTCTGATTATAACTTCACTGCTGCTGCTGCAGCCTGCAAATTAAGTCCGAACAGTTCCTGTATACAATCATAATCATAATAATAATAATAATAATAAATAACTGGAATTCGTTATTAATATTTTTTTAATATCCTTCGTCTGGTGTGGTTCACTGGACCATATGATGACTTTATATGATTTTTCTCGCGCTTGCGTCGCGCCCGACAAAAGCGGTGGCGCGGCGGCAACAGCAGCAGCAGCGGCAGTAAAACAAAACAACAACAAAAAAAAAAGTATATTCATCGAGAAAATTTGCGATGGAAAAAAAAAATAAATGGCAATAATATTATTATTATTATTATATATACGCGTTACAGTCTTGCCCTCTCCCGGTTTACACACGTGTCACGACTGTTGACATATGGTTAGCAAGGTAACACGTGACGCAGTTTTATATCATAATATACACTATGATATTATTATAATATAAATATAATATATCATTTCGAGTGTACGTATATTTATATATTATTATTATAATATTTCCAGACACTATATTATATACTGCGTGTACTCGTATATAATAATAATACTAATACGATGCTGTGTAAGAAAAAAAAAATCGTTTTTCTCGCGTACACTGCGGCAATATTGTAAAGTTAATAATATATAGAAAATCGTATAAAACATCTTCCAGCAGCAGCGGCTTTCGTGTAGGTACGTCATGTTCAATTATAAACGCCGTTTTCTCCCGGGCTTCGGGCAGACGTGGCGTCTGCAGTTTATTCTCTTCGTCGCGATATTATAATAATACCATTGTATACCTACCGAATACTCGAGACGATTTTCACGACGGAATGGAAATCTGAAAAAACAACACATTTTTCACAGTCAAACGATTTTTCTATTAAATTCCCATATCCTCTCACATAGACACTCGACGCGATACTTTTAAAGCTTGTAATAATATTTTGTTATCGTTGCTAGATTTCGGCCGGTTACAGTCGAGTAAATATAATAAACGAGTAAAGGTAATAATAAATGGCATCGTCAATTGTGTCATTTGTATCATTCAAGTCAATTGATTGAATTATGTTAGAATTAGCAAACTGAGCGGTATCTAAAAACGCAATATTCCTGTGTAAATTGGTCTGATAAATTTAGTTTCTATACACGAGTATATATATATATATACAGTGGTGAATCGAACTTAAAACGACTATTTTTTTTTTACAAGAGTACACTTCGGTATTTTTAGTGTACATATTTCTGTCTATATATTTTAAGTTTTTAAGGGCTTATAAATATATGCCCTACGTTATACGTCCGCATTGATGATCTGAATTTATGCTGACGCAGATAGAAGATAATGACTCTGTTCCTCCGTACATGTTTTCAATTAAGAAGATAAACTTAAGAAATAAAATAAACGTGGTCCATAAAACATGCAATAAGCTGTCGTGTTGGGGCTATTATTATAAGACACCGGCATGCTGCAGTACTGTAGAATAGTTGTAGCATAGTGGGCCACTCCGCCTGTGACTACTCGAGAAGTGTCTATAGATTTTAAACATTTCGCACATTATACCGACCTCATGAATAAGAGTAAGTACATCGGTAAATAACAATAAATAGAATAGATACGACACGCGTTTACTGATATCATCGGGGGCTTTGTGGTCTTTTTTCGGGAGGGAGAAAATCGATTTTCTACGAGAAAGATCATTGATAGATTAATAGATGTTATTAGGGGGTTTAGGGGTATTTTTAAAGGCTGTGTTACAAGCATTTTTAAATTATCTATCTATATCAAATATCCATGTTCTTATGTTATTATTTATTTATAATAGATTTTTCGCTTTAATATTATACACTTTTCGGATTACCGGTGAGTATATTTTGAAACGGTGTATTATATAATGTTTAATATAGAATAATAAGCTTATACAGAAAAAAAAAAGAAATACAAATAACTTAGGCAACCGATTGGGTGACTATGAAAAAAAAAAAAAAAATCACACGACAGACGCACGGCAACGTGTTCTAAACGTCGTCGTGCCGCAACCGGTACGCAAAGCGACCTTTGGGGGCATTTGCGTTCGTCGATAACCGCATAACATTTTTTGGTCGGTCGGGCTGGACCCGTAGCCCGCGCCAAAAAGGCGTTCGAGGTCTTCAAAGGTCTCCCGACCGCCGACATTATCGGGCGGTGATCGCGCCGCGCGATCTCTTACAAAGTTATCGTTGAACTTTCACACGGTACGTAAGGTATCTTCGTGTCTTGTCGGTCGTTTAAACACAGCGCGGTACGCGCGCACACGTAATGATATTATAATTATCGTTGCGCGCGGGTGATAATATATTACCCGCGTTAAAATATTACGGGCACGTTCGGCGCGCCTGCGAACCACCGAAGCTAACGTGCGGACGTCGCGTACGAGCAACCGCGGACTTCGAAATGGATCGGGGGAAGTATCGTTTCCGTGCCAGGAGTCGTTTTTCGCGTGCTCCGTACGGCCCGCGTCGGACGCGCGTGTCTGCGCGTGAATGTCCCGCAGCCGGCAAGCGAACGGTACGCGAAAAACCCGCGGTAGCACCCCGTGCGCGCGCACTGTAAAGTGTGATTATTTATCGCCTCCCGGCCACGACGAACGGCCGCAGACTTATAAATTATACCGCCGGTTACGGTATTATTATTATTATTATTATTGCGCGTTGCGTATCAGTGTATAATTATGCGGAATACCGGCGGCCGGCGAACACGAATCTGTTCGGGTTCCCCAATCGCGCGCTATAATACACGAACGTACGGGGGGTGTGTGTGTGTGTGGGGGGGGGGGGGGGGTTCGATTCTTTCATGGTCGCGCGAACGAAAACCGGCGGCTACCGTGAACGCGGAGATTCACGGTGTCCGCGGTATGCTGTATGATACCATCCGCACCCCGTCGACCACGTCCGTTCCGGACTACGGTAATCGTAACCCGAACATTTGGGGTTGGTGAGTTTAGGGAGAAAAACGTATTGTTGCGAGTGAGAAAATGCAATGTTATTGAACGTCTCGTGGTTAACGCGATGTCCGAATCGTTTACGAAATCATCGGCGTGTTTACGGAGGGGTTAGGATATGGACGATTGATCTTCCTCATACATTATGTATACGTGCACGTGATCATACATTTTTCAAACAAATAATACGTATTACCGATAATGTCGTTGACAATTTGATAATATTATCACTCTCTATTCAGAACTAGATCCACTTAATATACGTGAAAAACCTTACTACTCTAAACATTTTTTTTCTCGTCATTTTTAGATTGAAACCATATTTCAAGTAAAAAATCGTTCACAGGCAGAACAAATAAAACAATTTAAAAAAAACTTGAGCAAAAGAATTCTTTCATTAGAATCGAATTTTTCCCCAGCTGACTTTTTGCAGTTACAATATGTCGTATTTTTTTTTTTTTTTTACAGCGATAAGGAATTAAACCAAAAATGTTTTATCATAATAGGTAAAGTAATTCTCGAGATTTTCGCTAACATACAAACGGATAGGGTGGGGTCGGGGTTTAAGGGTTGAAACCGTATCCTTGATACTTACACCACGCGTTTATAAAACTTCATCCCCCTTGTTTCATTTTGGAGGTCTGGAAGGGTGTACAAAGTTAAGAAAATACCCTGCTTCCGCAATAACGCGATAAAATTGACATCGACATTTTATCACTTCAATGCTGAATGCCTACAAAAAAAAAACTTCTGATTCCCGAGTTAAAGCGCTTTTAGTCCAGAGAGAGATTTATTTATATTTATATTTATATTTATACTGTCTGTTATATACGATTATATTATTATAATCGTATATTACAGACAGTCCATGTACGGTGCGATTTTCGGGGAAAATTCGAAAAAACATAAAGAAGAGTCGCACACATCCCGATAGCAAAACCAATGCATGCTTCTTACTGTTCGGAATCTATAACCTGACCGGGCGAGAAGTGATACAATTTAGACGATAGATGAGTTACGGCCCGGCGTATTATTTACGATGTCGAGACCGATGAATTCCGCCCGGAAAACCTTTTGGTCGTAAATTAGTTGTGGCCACGTTTTATCTAGAAACTTTATCGCTTTTTCTTCTTTTCGTGTCCAATCATAGTAGCTTATCGTGTATGTCTCTATTACTTCCCATGCCAATATTCTGTCAGCTGTATGACTTTGTCATTTGTTTCTTCTATATTCTTCTTAGTATATTTAGCATTAAGTTTGGGGCACTCATAAACATGTCCTTCATCCTGAATTTCTCCACATTCACGTTTGTCGTTTTCGGCTAAGCTCCATTTAAACACGTTCGTTTTAGTTCGGCTGAAAGATACTTTTAAACGATTATGGTTCTCTATAGATTCCACGGGAGTGTTTTTCCTTTACGTAGCTCTTCTATTGGCGTTTCTGTGATTCCGTTTTCTCCATATTTACTTAATTTTATCATCATCTGTTCCCAGCGTCTTAATCTTTCCTCGTTACTTGAGCTACCGATCAATTGTTTTTATAAAGCTTTTTCTTGACTTTAACCTGTATTTTGGCGGTTTTATTCCACGCAGAGGATATCTGATATTCGTTTCCATTTTTGTTCTCTCTAAATCAGCCGCCACATCTCGTCTAATCTGCGGAGGAACTATTCCGCTAATAACATATAAGTCGCTTTATCAGACAGGTCAGCCGTTTTATCGGTAATACATGTAGTCGTGTGTTATATTTTATTATTTACAATGTACCGCGTTAAAACTGGTATCTAATCTGAAACATAACGGCGGATGGTAAACAATACGAAGAACTATCGAAGTTCCACCTGAGACTTATACACAATTCGGGAGTAACGGGTTAAAAACGAAGAAAACGTGTGAAAGGAAGCTATTTTCTCGGGTACCTAGCGCTAATAGGCTGATACAATGTGATAGGTAATTGTTATGCGGCCGCGATTCGTACGTTTGTCTCGTAAACCCGGACCAAAACTCGTATACTCGATTCAGGGATCGGGCCGCAACTCGCCGGCACTAACGATACGTCCATACCGCGCACCGTAACACGAAAACGAAAATAATAATAATACAATACTCGGGGAAAGGATATTGAAGTCGTGAGCATGCATGGCCTACAGCATTATGCTCAGCGGAGACACGGACACACGACAAACATAAAGAAGAATCGATAAACACATTTGAGATGTGGTGTTACCGGCGCGTGTGAAAGGTCAACCGGGCAAATAGAGTAACAATAATTACCAAGCGGTACACAACAAGTAAATGGAACAAAGGACAATGGCGCGGGCCGTGAGAAGAGCGAGAATATCGTCACAACGGCTGTAGGACATACTACGAGACCCGCGATAGTCCCGCGCGCCAACAGTCCTCGATGGCGTTGTGCCGGGGGGAATAACGAAAACGAAGACCCGGCACGCATTTTATACCGCGGACACGGCGACGCGGAGAACCGGGCCGGAAATGTGCCGACGTTGAGAGGAAACGGTAGGAGACCGCGAGGGAGAACGGAGAGCGGAGCCGCAGGAACGAGGCGGATACCGGTCGGAAGACGGTAAAAACAAGAAGAGAGTATGTGTCGCGCGACATTGTACTACGTGACGTACTGTCGAGCGCGGATAGTGGTCATAGTGTCGCCGGCATTTCATAACAATAACAACACTACGGTATTGTATCAACGTGTGCGCGAACGGCGTCAACAAATACGCTGACCGCGCGTCCGCAGGTGGGCCCGCGGCGCACTCGCGCGCACGAATGATGAACGGCGCGTGAACGCGACACGCGCGTGTGATACCCACCCACCCGACTGTGTACTTACCCGCGGTCCAGTGTGCGCGCGCGCCGCACAATGAGATAACGGCAACGACCGGGGGGGGGGGGGGCAGGGGGGGGG